CAAATGGCTTACCATCTGGGTGCCTTAGTTTCCTCTTCTACAAAATGGGGAATGACCCTAGTACCTTCGTTGTAGGGGCATCGTAAGGATTAAATAATTCGAACACTGAGACCCAGTCACATAGTAAGTATTCAGCAAATGTTAACTATTGCAATCCCATCGTCATTGCCATTGTGTGTAGTAGTCGAGTGTCTGCTTTTTTACTAGACTGAGAGCAGCTCAAAGTCAGGGACCGATTTGTCTCAGCTCTGGACCGCCATGTTTCCAGTCTACAGTAGCCCTTCTCCCTCCTCTTCCTCTTCCTTTTATTACTGTTACTATTATATATTCAGTTTCCAGATAAGGAATTAGGGGCTCAGAGAAGTTAAAGGACTTGCCTTAAATCATGTAGCTCATCAGAGCCAGAGCCGGGGTGGAGCCTGGGTCTGGAAGACTCCTTAGCCCTGCTCTTAAACCTTTCGTCAGCATGCCTCCAGACACAGGGTATTGGCCAAGGCTGGGGCTCATCCTCATCTTAAAACTCATCCAGTCTCTGCACACAGCAGAGGGCTCTTTAGTGTTGCTGATGGATTGAACAACCTCAAGGGCCTTCTCCTTGGCGTGCACCTGAACGCAGGACAGAGCAGCACCTTGGTTTGCTCTGATATGCTTATCTGATGCCAAAAGGGGTCCTTCGAAGACATGGAGCCCCCATGTGTCCGATTTTGTCCCGAGGGTTGGGCTGCAGTCATTCTCATCACTTCTGATCTGCATGTTGGACTACAGGCACCCTCCTGAGACCAGGGCTCCCGGAAGCCAGAGGGCAGTCCAGAATAGGATTCGGCTGCAATAGAAGAACAGCACATTTCTGTTAGATATTTTCTTGCTCTTTTTCTTTCAAGGTTTTTTGCCTTGGAACCCCTGTTGTAAATGCTGTCAAGTGATTATCATGGGGATGATTCAGCACGTCACAATTTATTCATTCAGCATGCCTTTATCATAATCGTGGAATTAATAGTTACCAGTGTTTAGCATTACTGTATTCCAGGCACTAATAAGCACCTATGAACATTATCTCATTTACTTCTCATAACAACCCCAGAAGGTAGGTAGTATCTCCAGTTCATGGTAAGAAAACTGAAGCTCCAGAGAGATTAAGGAACTTGATCAAGGTGACACCACTTATAAGTGACAAAGCCAAAACTTGAACCCGGGGCTGCCTGACATCAAAGCCTAGTCTCTTTCTATTACCTCCTGCTTGGAAGAGCATCTTGAAGAAGCCCCATGATGATCTCGGTTCAGGGAGATGCTTCTGGAGGCTTCAATGTTCACAATTTTTGTGCATATAAAATGGAAAAAAAATGTCTGAGGTGTTGGAGGGAACCAGCAACTGCAAATATATCTGAGAACTTGTAGGAAGCAAAAATAGTCGATGGAAAACCAGGCTTGCAAAACTCAGATAAGCAAGTGGCCTTTACTAACAGAGGTGTGCAGCAGAACAGTAAAAATGACTCATATCTGGGCTCGATTCAGAGATATACTTGGAGGCTCTATCTGCGAGAAGAGGGTGTAAATTGGAATTTACAGCACAGCTTTGCAAATGTACCAATGCCTTTACTCGCAGGTAGCAGGAGAGAAGTTATTGCTTGTGCAAGCAAGAAGTGCACCCAGCAAATCTGCTGTTGTCCCCCCCCCCACGCTCTGTAAAGATTGACGAGGGATATGGAGATGCATGGCACGCGGTCCCTTCCCTCAGGGAGCACTGGAAGCCCAAGTACTTGGCACTTGAACAAGAGCTATGCCTTTTCATCCACCAGAGAGCGGCGATGGAGGATTGTGTACCCCCGTTTCACAGACCAAGGAATAGGGAGGTGAAGTGAGTTACCGGAGGCCACCCAGCCACTCTGTAGAAACCAGCAGAGAGTTGGGCCTCTCTTGGGCCATCTCTATTTCATTCACCACTGCATTCCCAACACCCAGTTTACCGGACCTGGCACTCAGGAAATGCTGAATGAGTGAACTAGAGTTTCCCTCTCAAGATAGGAGTCCAGAACCATTAGAGACGATGGACTCTGAAACACCAACTGAGGGTTCTAGAGGGGAGGGGGGTGGGGGGATGGGTTAGCCTGGTGATGGGTATTAAAGCGGGCACATTCTGCGTGGAGCACTGGGTGTTATGCACAAACAATGAATCATGGAACACTGCATCAAAAACTAATGATGTAATGTATGGTGGTTAACATAACAATAAAAAATTATTTTAAAAAAAATGGGGGAAAGAGAAAAAAAAAAAAGATAGGAGTCCAAATTGGAGAGGGGGAAGGGGAGAAAAGAAGGACCCTCTATGTCTGTCCTCTCTATTCTCCCTCTTGGCCTTAGGGGCAGAGAGGAGACTCCAGTCAGACCAGAGGAGACAATTGCTCCTTAGGAAGGTCATGGTTTTTTGGGGGGGGTCGTGAGTCCCAAAACACGGAGCTTTGCCCATGGGAACCTGGAAAACCTCAAAGTCCCCTTTCCTAGCGTTCTCAGCATGGAAGGCGTAGGGAAGGGGGACAAAGGACCCACCTGAGGCATCCAGATGAGTCAGTAAAGGGCTGTATAGGCCCGTGCTCTAGAGAGCCCAGGGAGATCTGCTATGACTTTTTCCACACAAATGTCCTCCACACTAGGTTTGTTCTCTTGGATAGACTGCCCAAGCCATTCACAAGGGCCGTTTACTCAATAAACCTATATTGAGCACCTAGTCAGTTGTAGGACCTGTGATCACCAGCACGGAGGGAATAGGGATTTTTATACCTACCAGAAGAGGCAAGATGGGGATATAAGTATGCCAACTGTAAGGAGAAGGAAAAGATGAGTGGTCCAGGTTACCTGCTGTTAGCATTCAGTGAAGGAAAAAAGACCTTTGGGGAGGGTAGATCAAGGAAGGCTTTCTGGAGGAGTTATCAGTTGAGCTGAGCTTTAAAAAATAGAGAGGATTCAGACCAGGACATTCCTTATCCTCATAGGAGAATTTCCTTTTAGAAGTTAGTTTTTTAGATCTATGACCAGTGGTCTTATACTTTAAAATCTCATTATTTCAGGATTCTCGGCAGTGGACTAAGTGGGGCCTGGCATCCCCACTTAGTCACAAAGCAGAGGTCTGTAGGTTTGCAGGCCAGCCTGTCCTGACCCAGACCTCAGATGCTTGCCATCTGTACCGAGAGGGGTTTTCCTGCCTTTGGCCATGGACTGAGACAGTTGAGCTGGTGTCTGTTTGATGCAAAGGCATCATGATTTGGTAGACAGAATTCAGGCTTTGGATTAATAAGGACTGCTTCATAGTTCTGCAAAGCTCAGCTTCCTTGTCTATAAAGTGGGACTGATGATACTACTGCCCTCTGGGGGTTGTTGTGAGCATTCGCACAGTTAAGGCTGTAAAAGTACCCATAGAAGATGCTCGCAGCAGCACCCATCAGTGAGGTTGACTCCGGGGCGGGGGGGGGTATAGGGGGGCGTGGAGCAAGGGCTAGGTCACCTTCTCTGCTGGCCTCCTGATAAGCACTGGACAATAGTGGTCGGGTCCCTCTCACTGCTTCGGTGCCCTGGCCTGCAGCCAGCAGCCTGAAAGTCCGAGGGTAGGAGAGACACTCAGCCAGCCCAGGAGGCTGCTTCTGCTGCTGGCTTCTGTCCCAGGCTCCAAATGTCTCCATTAAAGTGCTGCCTGAGGACATAAACAAATGGCCCTGCTATTCTCACCTTCTCCCTGGTCCAAGGCTGTCTGCTATCTGCCTGTTTTGGCTCCCGTGCGCTCTTCTCTCCCCTCCCATTAAGGGGCACCCCTGCTGGCACAGCATGGCACATCTTCAGAAGGCACTACTCACATTCCTGGGGACCGTCCTCATTAGAAATGAGGTTTCAGCCCCTACGTCACTGCAGCAGACCTCTTGGCCTTTGGGGGAAAGTTGTAGCAGGAGCGGAGAGGAGAGGCAGGACTGGAAAGACAGGCATGGGTCACATTCTGAAGGGCTTACTGGACCCTGTGTGGGCCTCAGCCTAAAATCGGTTTTCATCTATAAATCTGAGACAATAATAGCTATTGTTCCAAGTAGCTAAAGGGAGTAAATAAAAGATTTATCGCAATTCCCTTGTCTGTAAAGGGGGGCGAAAAACAGCACCTGCTCTGCAGTGGGTCATGAGGATCAGCTGGATTTAAACATGTAGAGGGCTCAGAATGGTGCCGGGCACGTAGGAAGTGCTCAATAAATGTTAATGGTTTTATGGTTTTTAATAACCCCCAGGTGGTTTTTAATTGGGCTCACTCCCTTTACTCAAAGTTCACCTCCTACCCCCTACCCAGGCCATCACTGACCACTTAGCCTAAAATTTCACCGTTGACCCCACACACCCAGGCCATTGGCCCCTTCCTGGCTTTATGTGTTCTCTGATTTATCAGCACCTCTGTAAACTGTGTATTTTACTTATCTTGTTTGTTTCATTTACTATGTACCATTATAGATAGTTAGGGTTTCTCAACTTGTAGCATCCATTGCTGGAGTTTGTGAAATGAGATCAAGTGTTCATGATTCAGTAAGCCTGGGGCAGGGCCCGAGAATTTTCACTTCTTACAAATTCCCAAGTGGTGTTGAAGCTGCTGGTCCGGGACCACACTTTGAAAAATGCCCTCCCCAAAATATCAAAGAAACAGGGCAAAGTGGGTGACGTCAGAGGCTTGTTGTTTTTTGTTTTGTTTTGTTTTATCTTGTTTATTGTGTCTCTCTTTTCGAGTTTAAGTTTCACGAGAACAGGGATTTTGTCCCCTTTGTTCGTTGATGTGTCCCTAGCCCCGAAAATAGTAGGAGCTCAATAAGTATCTGTCGAGTAGCCCGCCATCTCCCGACCGCATGGACACGCACGACCCGCCGCGCCCGTTGCCGCCCGGCTGCTCCCGCGTGGCCCTGGGGCCCGGCCGTCGCTGTGGCCGTGGCCGTGGCCATGGCGGTGGCTCGGGGCCCCGCTGACTGCGCGTGTTTGTGCCCTAGATCACCCAGGCGGCTTGCAGAACCACCCGCGGCTCCGGACACCGCCGCCGCCGCTCTCGCACGCCCACACCCCCAACCAGCACCACGCGGCCTCCATCAACTCCCTGAACAGGGGCAACTTCACTCCGAGGAGCAACCCCAGCCCGGCCCCCACGGACCCCTCGCTCTCGGGAGAGCCCCCCGCCGGCGGCGCCCAGGAGCCGGCCCACGCCCAGGACAACTGGCTGCTCAACAGCAACATCCCCCTGGAGACCAGGTGCGGGGCTGGGGGGTTGGGCGGGGCTGAGCCGCAGGGGCGGCGGGGCCCTTCCGGAGGTCCCCCACCTCCCTGGTCTGGGAGGCTGGGGTCGGGGCAATGCTCGGAGAGGTGGCTCTCGGCCGACCGGGAGAAGGGGAGAAGGGTGGTGGTGGGAGGGGCGCGAGGCAGGAAGAGCCGGCGCTTGCGAATCCAACAGCCCCGAAGTCCGGGGCTGGCCTGCCGCGGACGAAGGTATGAGCCCTCTGTGCCCTTTCCTGGTCTGTGCAGTGGGGATGCTGCTGGCTGGAGGGGCTGCTATAATCGTGGATGAGAGCTGAGTGTGTAAAGGTGGCAGAGAGCAGGCCCTTGGTCAGCGTTTGATGGCGGCCCACACCTCTGCCTTTCCCTACTGGGATCTGCTCCCTCTCCTCTCCACTCCTCTCCCCTCCCCTCTCCTCCCAGGGACTTATCTCCTTTATACCCCAAACCCTATAATCCCTAACACTGATACATCATCAACTAACTTTTAGTTACAAGAGCTTTCATACTTGAGATATGATGTCATTCTCACAGCTTCACGAAGAAGGCGGTATCGTGATTTGTGACCCCATTTGGGAGTTTCGCAGAGAGGGTCCGTGACTAGCGCAGGTCACGTGGACACTGGATGTGTGGCTACAGTGTGAACCCCGGTTGCGAGACTCGTGGGCAGTGCTATTTCCTACACCACCACCACCTTCTCCAGGTCTCCCCTGGCCCGGCCCCCTCCTCCTCTGCCTTCTTCCAGCCTCACAGAGTGCTTCCTTTAGGGCTTTCGGTCAGGGTCAGTTCCATAGCTGTCCTTCTTCCCTCTGGTGAGCCACTGTTTTCCCAAGATGGAAACGAGTTGTTTTCTTTTTAAAATCATTACAAAGGCATACAAGCTCCCTGCAGAAAATGCAGAAAGATAAAAGACGAAAACTAGATTCACCCATAATCCCACCACTCTGAGAGAAGCACTGTTGACTTCGGGGGACATAGCCTTTCCCTCCCTTCTCTAAAGCTGAAGTGCCCCAGGCAGCACGATTAGAAACTCCTCACTTTCTACCCTGTCTCTCAAAGTAGCGGGGAAACCTAGATTTTATTTTCTCAAACTCCTCTTCTGGATCTGTGGAGAGGACAGAAGCCATCCCACATTTAAAGACGTGAAACTCGTCTATACATGGAAAGCGCACCCATCTGACTCTATCTGGCACATCGCTGTGATAGTTGCACATCGAGCGGGTGGGATCCAGTGAAAGAAAATCAACATCCTTTTGTGCCATCTTACGTTTTACTCCTGTGGAATCAGTTTTTCCAGAAGCAAATTTCTCAGAGATACAGTCCAGCTTGCCTCACTCCCAGTCTCTTAATTAATATTATTCTGTTGACATCCTTTACAATCAGGTGTGAGGTGTCCTTCTGCCTCCTTCTCTCTCCTCAGTGAGGGAGTTGCATAATTGTGTGTCATCCCACCCAGGGTAGCTTAATCAGATCTCCGTTATTTCCAGGGTGCTTATTGAATGACTGCACGTGGCTGAGAGAAGCCAGCGAATAATCGATGGTTCTGATTCTCTGCATGGGACCCAGTAGCCACTCCCTCTGCTTGGATGTTCATTTTTCTCACTTAGGAGCAAAGTAGGTGGTTCTCCAGGTTTTTCAAGGGAGAGGAAGATCGAGGCCGGGCAGCAGGCACGTTTTCCTGATGGCTAGTGTGAGATGCTGAGGTGGAGCCAGCTGACACCTGCCTTTCTGACCTTCTGTCCTCCCACACCCATGCACAGACCACAGGGAACTTTGCTTTCTTTTATGCTTTATCACTCAAGTAATAAATGTTCTACAAAACACTTAGGAACAAAGAAAAAATCACGTATGTCTACCACCAAATGGTAACCATTGTTAACATGCTGGCATATATCTGCTCATCTGTACTATTTTATATAAGTCCGTATAGATATAATTATATACGTATTGAATATTCAGTATGTGTATGTGTATAGGAGTATACGTCTATGTGGATCAGTCTTCCCCCAGACGCCCATCCCTTTCGTGCCCCTGTGCCTTTGCACGTGCTCTTGTACAGCGCTCTGCCAGAGCTGCCCTCCTCACTTCTGGGTCTCCCAAAGTCCTACCTATTCTTAAAAACCCAGATGAAATGTTGGAGATGGGCCTTCTCTGACCCCAGAGTTCTGTGCTTCTGAAGATGGCTTAAAACTGGGAGAGGTGCTTGATACAATGGATAACACAATCAGAGTACTGGACCTTAATACTGACCTTTACTGGTTGGTGGCACAAAACCAACAAGGTTTAAGAGAGATCAGTGTCACATCTGGCAGATGGAATCACAGGTAATTTTGACCAGCATGGTGAGGTAAGGAAGAGAGCAGACTTTAGAGTCAGGGGACCTGGATTCTTGTCTTGGCTTTAGCAGTTACTGGCCCGGCGAGTTCATTTATAGCCCTGAACCTTGATTTCCCCGTGTAATGTGGGATAAGAATTCATGCCTCTCAGACTGGGAGGAAGTGAATGAAATATCATGTAAGAAACAAAGCACAGTGCCTGGCATGGAAAGACATACTATAAAAATGATTTCCCATTTTTTTCATGCATATCTGCTTCCCATATCAACCCTTTGAAGAAAAAAAGTCACGAAAAAATACTTACTGGGCTCCTACTCACCAGAGGAGTTGAGAGGAAATAGCAGGTTGTACCTTTTCTCTACTTTGGAGAAGGAAGTTTGGCCCTGATGTTCTGAGAGCATAAATGATGGTCCTTTCGCTGAAGCTACTTGTTCATATCACAGGTTTTAGGGTCCGACACATCCTGCACTCCAATCCCCACCCCATTGCTCACTAGCTGTGGACCTAGACCTTACATTTCTTCGTCTCTAAAAGGGAGAAAATATTAGTAACTTCCTGTTCTAATTATCTATTGCTGCATAACAAATGCCAAGTCAAACTTGGTGACTTAAAAAAACAACCAGTTGATTATACTTCGCAGCGTGAGGCAGGAGCTCAGGAAGACCTAGCTGGACCAGTCTCCCTGTGGTGTCAGTGGGGGTCAGTCAGTGGCGTTAGCTGTTAGCTGGGCAGTCTGAAAGAGCCAGGGTGGCCTTACTCACATGCCGGAGCCTTGCAGAAGACAGCTGGGTAGCTGGGCTCAGTGGCCCCTCACCCTCTACTGTGGTCTCAGGGCCTCTCCACCCAGTCTTCCCAGCAGGGAGTGGACTTCACACTCCATGGCTTGGAGCTCCATGGCACTGTGACAGAAGCCACTGATCCTCTTAAAGACTTGGCCTGGAATGGTATAGCGTCACTTCTGCCATTGTTCTGTTGGCCAAAGCAGACCTAGGCCAGCTAGCTTCCAGGAGAGGGACAAAAGACCCCACTTCTCAAAGGGAGAGGTGCCCAAGGATTTTCAGCCACTTCCAACCCACTGTAGTACCTCCTGAGGCTCTTGTAGCAATTATATACGATACTGCCTGAAAATGTCTTGGCACACAGTACATGCTCACCTGCTTACCATGTAGTGCTTGTCCTTCAGTAAATACTCACTGGGTCCCTACTGTGTGCCCAGCAGGCAGTATGTTTAAGATCACAGACTCTTACAGTGGGACAAATGCTGTGATAGAGGTACACACAGTGAATCAGTTTTAATGCCTCTGGATTTTTGGCAGGCAACACGGCTTGCCACATGATGGGTGCTGGAAAACTACTAACGCAGGCTAAATGAATGAATGACAGAACAAATGAATAAAAAGCTATGCGTAACTTGAGTGGGCCAAAGGGAAGACTTCCCAGTGGGCCTGGTGCTGTGGGACTGACAGCAAGTAGGAGTCCCCAGGGGGAGCTGGGAAGAAGGAAGGGCATGAGGGCTGCACAGCCTCATCGAAGGCCTAGAAGCCCAAGAGAGCAGGGCCTGGTTGAGGTGGTTTGTTGTCAACAGCTATTACCAAGCCCCACGAGGATGGGGAGCCCCCTGATGCCAGAGAAACTGTCACAGGCCCTTCTCTAATTGTCAAACTGAGTCTGTGCGGAGAGTCAAAAGTAAATAGCTGGCAGAATAACCAGGAGGGGTTATATTTCATGTTGGAAGGAAAGAAGGGCAGAGAGGACAAGCGAGAGGGAGGACCTACTTAACCCACTGCCTCTGGCCCTCTCCAGAGGTAATGTGGTCCGCAGGGGGAAGACTGGGCCTCCCTGTGCTTCCTAGAGCAGGGGTCGCATGTTGCCTTGAGGCCTGCAGGTGCATCTGTGGTCCATCTTGGTGGAATCCATGTGTTCAGGGTCCACTAAACCCTGGTCCACTTCTTCACGCTCTGCAGCATCAAATGCTTAATTGATTTCATAGGGATTGTCTGATTAATAACCTGTTAGGCTCCTGTCAGATGAAGGGGGAAGCAAGGGCGCAAGGCTGCCAGACCCCTACTCTAGCTTATCTGATCCCAGGCCTGGTTTGGGAGCCTGAGGCCCATTTTGTGGTCATGCTCAATTTGGGGAATAGCCCTGCCCACCCCTCAGGGATGGGAGGCCATCCTGGTGGTCACCAACCCAGGCTTGGTATAGTTCCCAGAATAGCACACAGCACCTTCTAGTTGGCCAGGCCAACTCCTGAGCATTGCAGGAAATTGGTACGGACAGTCGTCCCTGTCATCTGGTGATTCAGTCATAGGCCTGCAGAAAACACAACCACAGTCCAATAAGAAGCTCATGGCCTTGTAAGGAAGACAGACCCATAAATGAATGAGTAAAGATGGCACTCTGGATAGTACGGTGAGGGGGGGTACTCTGAGCAGAGAGGAGGGTGTGGCTCCCTCTGCATGGGCCATCAAGGAACAATCATACCAAGCACTCGTGGGGCCCTTACTGGCGCTCCGTAGAGGGAAGCTCGTCAGAGACTGAGCACCCAGGGTTTCTACTAGGGGCTGGTCACACAGGTACCTCCTACCTGGCAAAGGCCCAAATTCCAAACTCACAGAAGGAAAGCCGATGTTCAGCATAAACCATATTGTTTGTACACACAGTTTAGACCCTGAGTCAGCTACTCATCAGTTAATGGTTAGAATGCTTCTGAAAACCTCTGTTCCCAGATACCAGCCCAGGGCCAACTTTATAAGCAGGCCCTTCAAAGGATAACAGTCAAGATGGCTGTGGTTACTGTTCTGCACAGGTAGGAAGATTATCATCATCCCCACTTTGGAGATGAAGAATCTGAAGACAGGAAAGTGAGGTAACTTGCCTCAGGAACCACAGCCAGTAAGTGTCCCACCCAGGCCAGCTGGTTCCAGAGCCCATGCACCTGGCCATTCTCCAGTGCCACCTTCCTGATTATTCAGACAGGCGTTGGTAGGAGTTTGCAGGGGAGAAAAGAATCCTGGGATGAGGGGCAGCTGTGCGAGGCACAGAGTGTGTCTTGGAGAGATGGCTCAGAGTTGGGGAATGTTGGGGGGCAGGGGGCTTCATGGAGATGCATGTAAGTGAGGGTCAGCAATGGAGGGCCTGGAGTTATAGGAAGACAAGGTTGTACGTCTTTCTCCCTGTGAGCATGGGGCCCGAGGAGGGCAGAAGGAGGGGCCAGTAGTTAACATTATGGGATTGGCCTTTTAGAAAGATCACTATGACCTGGAAGACTCAGTTCATTTTTTTTGTTTCTTTGTTCATTCATTTGTTAAAATGCTAGCCCTAGAACTAAGTCTTTTTGTGGTCTTGGCCAAATCTCTGACGCCTTGCACACCTTGGGGCTGTTGGCTACAGAATGTGGGCGCAATGCCTGGCCTGCTCTACTGCGTGGCTGTCCCAGGGCTCTGAGGGTGAAGCACGGGCCAGGACAGCAGGCTCATGGTGAGAAGATGGGCTGCTGAGCGGGGCAGTCTGAAGGACTGGGCACTGCTACTTTCCAGCCACTTCCTTCCCAAAAGCTACTTGTTCTGTCCTTGGAAGGCAAGCTCTGCCTGCCCCAGGCTGGAACTGGAAACCCCTGCTTCAGGCAGCTCGGGGGCCTTGCCCGTGGCCTCCTCTGAGGCTTAGAGGGGAGCTGGTCCCCTCCCCATGCTAAGAAGAGCTGTAGGAGCAGTATTGTGCTTAGCTGTGCCCCCCTCCAGGGACTGCGCCCCTCTTTCCCAAGAGGCAGCAGGGGGCAGTGAGGTTGGAGAGATGTGCTTTTGAGTCCCACCTCTACCCTTTGGTTGCTGTATGATCTTGGGCAGTCACTCAGTCTGTCTGGGCCTCAGTTTCTATATCTGAAAATGAGATAACAACACCCACTGGTGTGAGGGTCACGAGACTCCAGCGTCCATCCCCGAGTTCCCAGCCTCAGTGAGCCAGAGACCGTGCACGACTGTGACCTAAGGAGGCTTCAGCAGCAAGGGTCCCCATTAGGAAATCCTCATAGCTTTTGTTTTTCAGAAGAACTGGAACCTCAGAGTTGGGAGCAGGCAACGGACAGGAAATTGAGGGGGTAGCATTGAACTGGGAGTCCAGACACCTGGGTTTTAGTTTCAGCTCTGCCACTGACTTGCTGTGTGCGTGGGAGCAGGACACCTGTCTCTCTGGGTCTCAATTTCCTCAGCAATCACCTGGGGCCTAACTGACTCAGAACTGAGTTTCAAAAGTACAGAACGGGGTATTTGAAGGCAGTGGTAGCGTTCTGAACTGGCAGCATTTTCAGCGAGTGCTAGTGTCCCCCCAGATGCCTGAGTTGGCGTGAGGGTGGGAGCTCTTTCAGGGGGGTCTCATGCAGTCCGTCGCTCCAGAAACCCTCTGTCGTAGTGCACTGCCTCTTCCCTTGTCCTAATAGGTGTGTCCTTTTAGGAGAGAATGGCCTGCTGTCTCTCTTTAAATCATCGAAGTAAAAATAAAAACCACTCTTGATCCAGACATTGGAAAATTCCACTATTAACATTTCGATTTTAACCCTTCATGTGTTTTTTTCTCTGAATATGTTTATTTGTTTCTGCTGGGTTTTAAGGTTCACGTGTGACTGAGTGCACAGTCCTAGCCTAGCGATGCAGGCCAGATTCCCAAGCGTACTTGGGAACGTGCCATGCAGCCAGCTTCGGGGCCCGGGGACAAGCTCCCATTGCCTCTGGGCCCTCTGGGCAGGGGTGGTAAGGACGTGCTCAGGTTGGGCCATATGGATTATGGAAAGACTGGAAATTCCCTCCTGAACTACAGGAAATGGGGGAAATAATAATAAACACCTGTGCTCGCCTCAATTAAACACCAACTGTGTGCCTGTGATATGCTTCCCTTTGTATACCCATCATTCATAGTATTCAGCAAATATTTATTGAGTGCCTCCTACTGTGTACCAGGTACTCTTCTAGACTCTGGACACATGGGCAGAGAACAAGGCAGATAAGAGTTCTACCCTTACGGGACTGAAATTGCAATAGAGAAAAAACGTGTGTGTGTGTGTATCTAGGCCTATGTGGAAAACTAAAGCAGTGCAAGGGGCCAGGGGTGACTGAGGAAGAGCAGGGTGAGAGTTAGCCATGAGAAGGGAAGGAATGGCCCGTGCAGATATTTGGGGGAAGGCAGTTCAAGCAAATGACAACAAAGGCTTTAGCTGTTTGGAGTAACAGCACGGAGACCAGTGTATATATAGCACAGAAAATGAGGTTGGAGAGGTAGCAGGGGGCCAGATCTCGTATGCCCAGGTAAAGACCATGGTTTTATTCTCATGGAACCATTGGAAGGTTGTGAGCAGAGAAGTAGCACAATCCAAATTATATTGTAGCTTCCGTAAGAAGAGATCATCCCAGGTTATGAATGCTCAGAAAGACTCACCTGCCCAATGGCAAAGGCAGAAATGAGGCCACTCTGAAGGGCTTCCACACCCCTGCAGTTCCCCTCAGACACTGTGCGAGGCCCTGGGACCATGAACACCACCAGAGCAGCCTGGGCACCAGGCAGCTCGGAACTCTCTGGAAGGGGAGGTCCCCACGACCACAGCGGGACTCAGTGGTTCCGGCTGCTAAACAGTGTCGCCTTGTTCTCTCACTGTCCCCCAGGACGCTCGTGGAATGACACATTGGGGAAGTATTTACAGCCCCTCCACATTCCCATCTGTAAGGCTGGCCGGGGGACAAACCCAGGCTGAGCAGTGACACAGGGTTATGAGGCCCAGGGGCCTGAGCTCTGGGGTCAGACAGACCTAGGTTCTATTCCAGCTCCACCACTTGCTTACTCTGTGATAGGACCTTCGAAAGTTACTTCTCTGAGCCTCAAATATTCAGCAAATATTTATTGAGTGCCTCCTCTGCTTTGCCGACCTCCAAAGCAAAGATGATAGCACTGACTTTGTAAGATTGTTGTGGGGAGTAATTAGATAATACAGTGTTCTAGAACAATGAATAAGATACGGTGGACATAGGGTAGGTTAGCATTAGTACTTCCATAATATGTCTTAGTATTAGTACTCATGCTACATAAATTACTACTAATGTACATCAATTAGCATTAGTAATTTTTGTTTAGCCCTTATAAATTCTTCCAGCAAAAAATTAAAAAAATAAATTCTTCCAGCATTACTCTGTGGGCCCTACATCCACTTTGTGAACTTAGTATCATCATCCCCATTTTACAGATGAAGGAAGTGTAAAATCGGAAGAGGTTGCAGTTTTTACACAAAGTCACACAGCAAGAAAGAGGCAGGAATGGGACTTGAATTTGGGTTCTCTGGTTCTTAAGACCTGGTCAAAGTGGGCAGGAAGGTCCCTCGCAGGACTGGACTCAAAAGTTAGCTCTCTGCAGTTAGCCCTTCCTTGAGGTGGACACAGCAGGCTGAAGCCACCACCGGCTTGTTTAACACGATGCCCTACACAGTTTTCAAGTGAGGGGGCAGCAGTCCTTGAAAATACCAGAAAACGGGATCCAGCACACCCAAGTGTGAACGATACCACTTAGCAGGCATGGCTGAGGCCAGAAAGGGCAAGTGCATCTCTCCTCATTCTGCGTTAGAAATAGTAATGTCACAAAATGCTGCATTGCCCTTGGTGTACTTGGGGGGGGGGGCGAAACCCCCTCCTCTGTCTTCTGAGGGGTGCCAGCCTCACCACTCAGTCATCACTGAGGTCCCTGCTCTGCGGAAGCACCTTGGCCCTCTAAATGTCATCAGCATCAACCTGGGGGCTTGTGAGAAACGCAGATCCTCAGGCCCCACACCACCTCCTGACTCCGAATCTTTGGGGGTGGGCCTCCGCAAAGCACAGCTCTCCAGATGATTCTGATGCCTACTCGAACTTGAGAACCACTGCTTGAGAAGAAAACGGCCCCAAATGCTTGTCTTTTTTTTTTCCTTTGGACTCACAAAGTATCTTCAGCTGTTGTTTAAACAGATGTACACTGTCTCAAGTAGAGAAAGCACAGCCTTTGGAAACAGATAAACCTGAGTTCAGATCCCTGCATTCAGCCTCATTAGCTGGTAACCTTGGCAAATCCTGTCACCTCTCCACATGTCGGTTTCCTCGTCTGTAAAATGAGGGCATGCCTTCCTAGCCTATTTTGAAGATTTGAAATGAATAGATGTAACATGCCTAGCTCAGTGTCTGAGATATCATCAGTCTTGATCAGGGGATGCTGTGATTGGGTGGCCACAACCATCAGACATTCAGGTTCGTATAGGGAATGCCCCCTCTGGATGCTCTGCGCCAGGCAGACCCCTTGCACATGTGGCTTGCGCCAAGACCCATCGCCTGGCAGCCGTGTCCCCGCTGGTCTCACGCACAGCTGCGCCAGACAGCTACTTTGTGTGTTTCTCTACTATCCCCCTTCATCGATGCATGACTCATTGCTTCATTCATGTCTCCATGTGTGCGTAGAAACCTAGGCAAGCAGCCATTCCTAGGGACATTGCAGGACAACCTCATTGAGATGGACATTCTCAGCGCCTCCCGCCATGATGGGGCTTACAGTGACGGGTAGGTGACATCCCCATGGTCCTCCTCTCTGTGTTTGCTCTCCCTCTGGCTCCTGCACCTGCATGCAGACCCTGAGACCTTTCCCTGGGATCTCCTGCGGGAGGTGATGATGTCATGGTGCATGCCCATCCCGAAGTCCATGTTCAGCTTGCAAGAGTTTATCCTTGGAATCCCCTCGCTTCAGCATATTAACAGCAGCTTTGTTAATATGCAGCTCCCAGCATCTCATCGGCTGCCTCTGCCATTCTGAAAGCCATCTCGTAGCAGTTTTTATGCAGCACAGGCCCTATGTCGTATGTCTTGTAGCCCTGAGTATCTGTTCTGGGTGCAAGATTGCTCTAAGATTTCAGGGGATGCAATGCAACCAGTGCACCCCATTTCCCAGGCTGTGTACAAATTCTCCCATGGCCATGGTTAAAGGCAAGCTGTGGAGGATTTCCTGACACCTGGTTTGGCCACAACCATGCGCTTTGACCCTGCCACGCTGCCCTAAAGACTGTAGCTAGGCTGTAGGATGTATTTGCCCACCTCTCGTCCCATGCAGCTTTTCCCAGGGGTTTGGAAGGTAGCGTCTGGCTTCTGAAAGCATTTGCCGCCATTGGTTGTATGAGAGCCACTAGGGGACTCAACCATGACAGAACTTAATGGTGGTTTCTTGGTTCCCACCCCCTAAACACCCTTCAAAAAGAATGGTATTTCATGCCTCCACCGAGGCACACTGGCAAAGTAGGTATGGGAGGGAGAAGAAAAATTTAGGTTCCATTATCTCCAAGGCACAGAACATGATTTTAGATACTTTTTCCAAGTTAGTACCGATAATTTTAGAGAACAGCTCGTATAATACCCAAGAAACAGCATCTCAGCCCCATCCCTTCCCAGGAAAGGGATCTCCACAGCCAGCCTTCTGTGGGGTTGGAAACACCTCCGGCCCTAGTCCGGGCTGGGGGGGCGGGGAGTTCCCCATGGGTAGGGCTGTCCCATCCGTGTTCCGTGGAAGCGTGTGTTCGTGTGCCCTGTTGTGTGGTCCGGTACGTGATTCTGCTCCTCTCCGTCTGCCCCGTCTTCTCCGTGGCGACTGTCTCCAGGCTCCTCTGCATGCTCCTACTGCCGCCTCTGTCCTCCAGGTGGCTCTGGGTCCCGGCGAGTCCACAGACCCTGACGCCCTCGGGCTTCTCTCCGTCCACAGGCACTTCCTCTTCAAGCCAGGAGGCACCTCGCCACTCTTCTGCACCACGTCGCCAGGGTACCCTCTGACGTCCAGCACGGTGTACTCCCCCCCGCCCCGGCCCCTGCCCCGCAGCACCTTCGCCCGGCCGGCCTTCAGCCTCAAGAAGCCCTCCAAGTACTGTAACTGGAAGTGTGCGGCCCTGAGCGCCCTTGTGCTCTCCGCCACGCTGGTCATCCTGCTGGCGTACTTCGTGGGTAAGCACCTCCCTCGGCCCGGCTTCCCTTTATTCCCCTTTGCCCAGGGGGCAGCGATCAACACACCTGCACACGCTGCAGGCATCTAGCTGGCGTGACCGTTGCGCAGGATGAGCCATGCAGCCCTGGGGCGCTGGCCTCCACCCCCGAGCCGGTCACGGCCAGCTCTCTGGGATCCTCTTCTCCTCTCTGCACGATGCCCAGAAGGAAGCTTAGCAGCTGCTCTGTCACGTGTCAGATGCCTAGCGTGAGGCACAGTGTCCACCGACTGGCCTTTGAGCTGGTGAGCCAGGACGTGAGTGTCGGAGATGGGCATCACCAGAAATGACAGGCCTCTCCAGCTGGTACCATGTAGCTGCAGTGAGGAGCAGGAAGGACTCGGGGTCCCCTGGGGTTGGACTGGACTCTGCTGACCTCAGCCCAGAAGGCATGTCTGAAGGTGAGGGTCTGGCGAGGCCATCTGAGGGGACTGTGGGCGCCAAGGTGCAGAGAGGAGCCATAGTTAGGAGCCCAGAGAAATCCCAGCTGAGGAGCAGCGGGTCCCAGTGAGCAGTGAACGCTGGCTGCAGGACACATGGAGACCCCCAGCAGCTCTGACTGGCCTGCCTGCCTGCTCCCAGGCCACCTCCATGATGGAGGAAATGCCTCCTGGCCCCTGCTTTGCTGCCATGGGAGGCCAGTCAACTGGGTGCCCTTTTGATGTGGTTCCCACACAGCCCGGTCTCCTGCTTCATTCCAGCCCCTGTCTTTGGCCTGCTCCCAGGGAAGACAGTCTCTGAAGAGATCTGCAGGCGTTGTGTAGAGTCCGCTGCTGGCTCTGTGTAAATCAGCCTGTTAGTAAAGACGTCCAAAGGGGTTGGCTTAACCCTCCGTCCGTTCCAGCCTTCAGATTCTTTCATTCTGAGGTTTAAGGCAGGTCACGCCAGCTTGAGGTGGCCTTGAACCCATGCTGAGGAATTCTGAGATAATTCCATAAGCAAGAGGGACTTCTCCAGTAAAAACCCAGTAATCAGAAACAAGTAACTGGCACGGGCCAGAGGAAGACAGAGTGCCATCCACCATGGCAAGGGACTCTGTCATAGGCAGAATCATTGCGAATGAAAACGGGCAGTGTGGTGATGTAGTGCACGCTGTCACTGGGAATGATGAAGGGAACGTGGGCCCCCACTTGTTCAGGAGGAGGGATCTGAGCATGGAAGGAGCATTCAAGATTCTTGAATTTTATAGAAATAAGTAATCAGGAAGACGATAGTCCCTCAAACAGGGAGGTCTCCTTACATGTCTCGAGCTATAATAAGCCTTCTTTGATATGCCAGGTCTCTTTTCCCCTTGTGAAGATTGATGTAGAGAATTTCATGTCTCCAGGGCCAAGTTGGCATACGTTTCTTCTCTTCTTTGTGATTGGTTAGCTGTTGCTGCCTAGAAAGCTGTGTTAAGAAGGATCCTGAGGCTATATTCAAGCTCAGTGGGAAAGGGTCTCTGTGTTTGATTAGTAATGTTTGTCGTGGTCACCAGCGTGGGGAATATTGATGACATACCAGGCATTTGCCATCCCTACTGTGGGTCAGTGAGTAAAAGGAATAGCCAAACTGGGAGAGGCCAGAGGCCACCCAGGCCCAGTGAGAGGTAACTGGGTTCCAGGTGAGGGCCCTGAACATCCCAGTACCATCACCCAGCATGAAAGTTTTTTCCTGGCACCTGTGCCATGTCCCTGCTAACCACTAGCACAGCTCTTGTCTTTGACTGACACTATGTTTCCTAAATGAGCAGACTTCGGAACAAGCAGTGTCTCTGTGCATCAAGAGTCAAGTCGTTGGCTGCACAAAGACATCAGCTTGCAGTGAAGACTTAGGTTTCTACTGCATAGCCTGGTTCAGGAAGAAAGAATACATCTTTGTATGATTACATGAGCTCTCTTCTGTTTTATATCCCATGGGCTTCTTCCTCTCCCATGTAATAAGAATATGGGGTCAGTCTTCAGCAATCTAAATTTAGATAGGATATACTGGGAGGTAGTGAGCTCCCTGTCATAGGAAGGGTACAAATAGAGCTCAATGACCACATAGCAAGGATAAGATTTAAGCACTGACTGGGATTTTTCACTGGCTGGCCTTTAATTTTCCTTCCAACACTGACAGTGTTTGAATCCATGATTTTCTGAATTTTGTTTTTCCTTCGGCAAACCATATGGGGTACCCACTTTGGGCCAGGCACTGTGCTAAATGTCAGGGCTAAAGATATGGTCCCTGCCCTTGAGCTGTCCGTAGCTTCCAAGAGGAGACAGCTATGTCAGCAGTGAATTGAGGCAGCTTAGGGGCTATTTGGGGAATACCCAACACCAGGAGCACTAGGGGAGGCTCCCTGGGAAGGGCGATGATGCAGTCAGAGTTAACCAGCAGTAGACCTGCAGGGAGCAGCTCTCAAACCCAGGGACGCTGCAGACTTGAGCGAGGACAGTGTGGTCGTAAGGCCCTTGTCTGTGTTGGAAGCATTTGAAGGGTATTGGAGCTAATGCAGGAGAGTTTGGTCAGATTGGGAAGATCACCTTGGAGGCCAAGTTATAGACCTTCCTGGATGGGCAATAGGGAGCCATTGAAGGTTTTAAGCAGTGGCAGGATGTAGTCAGACATTTATTTTAGAAAGATAAGTGTAGAGGAAAGAAGGATAGGCCCTATCACAATAAACAGGTCAGGAGAAGCCGAGGGCCTCAGCTGAGACAGTGGCAATGTAGGTGGAGAGCAGGGAGGTCGATTTAGGAGAATTTGTGTCTCCTGTTACAAGCGGTCAGTCTACTAATAGTGTGTCCTTGCCCAGAATAAACACATCTTTCTGATAAAACCCTCCCTCTGCAGAAACATTAAGACTGGACCATAGATTGCATATCCAAGGACCAGGTCAGACCGGCAAGACCTGGGTGTTCCCTTTGTTCCCTGGAGCCTCGGAGCTCACACCGAGCCATTGACCGCCTTGGATTCCATTCCCAGCTCTGCCACCTGGCTGCTCTCCCACCTTGGGCAGCTCGCTTCTCTTTCTGAGCTTTGATTTCCTGATCTGGAAAACAGGCGTGACCCATTATTTCGGGGGGATGCGTGTGAGGCTGGAGTAAGCCGATGCCGGTAAACGCATCGCAGGTGCAAGGCCCAGCGCTACCTTCCCTCAGGGGCTAGGGTGGCAGCCTTGGTGCGTGGTCTCCTCCAGCTGCTGGGGGCAAGGGATGAGTGTCTTGTTGCTTGGCCGTAATCACAGGCTGTGATGACTAACTCGTAAGGAACTATCAATTATTAAAAATCAAATTAATTGTCTCAGCCGAGCACAAATATCCTTAACAGAGACTTTTGCAGCAGACCAACTGATCTAATCAACAGGCGCAAGCACAGATATTTAATTAGATTTTTGATGAAAAATTGTGTTTAATTTCAAGTATAATCAATTATTAATTACTGTAATGAGTGAGTCTGACTGGGTTTACTAATTAACTCATTTAAAAATTATGAATAACCTTTTCATTTGTAATTATTTTCTACATCCTATCATGCTGCAGATAAGAATCGTATCATCTCACCAGTACCAGGGGAGGTGAAAACAGGGCAGGAAAGAATTGTTCTTTTTCTGCTGTCTGCTCAGGGCTGCCATATCTGGAGGGAACCCTGACAGATTCATTTGACATTTGGTTTTCAGTTCGAAAGTTTCCGTTCATTTGCAGAGACATCTGCAGTTACTTTCATAGGAAGATAGAGAAATCGCAGCCAGCACTTAACCACCCACAAGGGCTGCAGGGCCTGGGGCAAGGCCTCCGGGCTGTCCTCCCCGCTGCGGGTGTTACTTGGCTGCTCCAGTTTGGAGGGGGGAGTAATGTAGGGACGACCTTTAAGCATCCTGGGGCATCCCGCCAGAGATGAGATGTGTATTTTTGTCTCCAAAGGACACCTGTTCAGAGAAATAGCTATTGACCCTGAGTGCCTGGCTTTACTGGCCAGTTCTCCCTGTGAAGGCCTTCGAGTATTCGGATACTCTGCCATTTATTTTCTGAAGACAAAAAATCTGTTTGCAGAACAAAATAGGGAGAGCGTGATATGGGGGGAAGATTAGTTAAAAGTTCAAACCAGGAAACTTGCACAGCCCCAGCAATAATGCTTTATTTTATGGCAGTTAATTGTTTTTAAAACATTTTCACCACAAAAGGCAGTGTAGTGTAGTGTAACAAAGATAATAGGGGCCACTTTTGTCGTTAATAATGAGAGCCCTTAGCTTTGATTGTGCGCTGCCCATACGCGCCTCCTGTTCCCAGCACTTTGCCTGTGTTTTCTCATTGAAATCTCCCAAGGATCCTATGAATTAGTCTCCCCAGTTTACAGATGAGGATGCTGAGACCCAGTGAGCTGGAGTAAGTCACCACCCTCACCTGGTAAATGGCAGGACTGTGGTCTCCCCAGCCCCAGGCACTCAGGCTCTGGGGCTGACGCTTTTAAATTTTTTTCTCTTTCGAGTTCACTTTCGAGTTAAACTTTCCCTTTGCAGTAGTTGGTATTTTGAGTTTTTGCTGGGTGCCTGGTATGGGTCCAAGCCCATTACGTCATCTCTCTAAACACGCACGACAATTCCATCAGGTAGGTTTTATTTTCTGTATTTTCTAGAAGAGGAAACTAAAACTCATAGAAGTTAACAGCTGGCCAGGGTCACAAAACGAGTAAAGGACCTAGGGTTTTTTTCCATGCTCTCAGCCACTATGATGTAGCTTCAGGGCTTGAACAGATGATATAGAATCAGAAGATCCCACTCAGGCTCAGCTCCATCACTTGCTGAGAGTATAAACTTGGGCAAGTTACATAACTTCTCTGAAGCTGTTTCCACTCAGGTTCCTATAGTGGGTGTGGCTGGAATGATTACCCCATTTTACACAGGAGGAATTTGTAGCGGCGTGGTTGAGAAATCATGGGCTCTGAAATAAGGCCGCCTGCTTTCAAATCTCAGCTCTGCTGCTTACATGCCTTGTGACTTTA